AAACAGTTTGTCACAGCCCCTCGTTTGTTGTCCTCTTCTCTCTCTCTGCCTACGGTTTTACCGGGCAGTTCTGTTTGTGACGATATATATGTCTGGAGTGTATTTTTTGGCTGTGACAGACCTTTCTTTGTTTCGTGCCCGGTAAACCGTAGGCAGAGAGAGAGAAGAGGACAACAAACGAGGGGCTGTGACAAACTGTTTCGTCGGAGTTTCACCGACTCATCAGGAGGCTGAACCCCACCCCATCACAAACCAGCAAAACATCCACGAAACAAAGAAAGGTCTGTCGCAGCCAAAAAATACACTCCAGACACGCCGCTGGCACTAGAGGCACAGCATGGCCGCCTAGTAACGGCCCCGACCATATATATATCCCGGTAAACCGTAGGCAGAGAGGGAGGGAGGGAGGGAGAAGAGGACAACAAAAGGTTTCTCAGTAAGCTCAACTGCCGCTGCAGCGGATGGCATACAGTCAAAATGCCCGTTAGGTAATCTCACCCACTAATTTAATCCACTTTTTGGTTTTATTTCTGTTTTTTTGGGGGGGGATTCCCAACTCTATTTTAAGGACTGCAAAAGACAAGACAAGACAAGACAAGACAAGACAAGACAAGACAAGACAAGACAAGAAGCAAAGCAGTAATATGCACTAGTCTTGCCCATTGGCAAGCTTCAATCACGCCAGTTCAGGACCTACCAACACCAGGACTTTCCTGGACGTATCTAACCTCAATGGTGGTCAAATTCAGTCCAAAATGTACGAGCCTGAAGAAGCCACAACCCACGTCGTATGAAAACTGTGTCCTTCCCGCCCTATTTCCGTAAAAAAAAAAAAAAAGTTAAAAAAAACCCTTTCATTACTTATTTGAAAAGGAAGGGCCGGCCACCCCACATAAAGGCCGGATCTGGAAGCATTACCCAGTAGTTATTGATGCTTTTGATGGGACCCAAAGAGGGGGGGGGGGGGGGGGGGGGGGGGGGGGGGGGGGGGGGGGAGGAGGAGGAGGAAAAGTTTCTAAAACTACATTTGAAAATCAACCTCCTTGCCACCAGATATATAATTGGGTGAACAAAGAAAGAAAATTTTAATCACCAGTACCTCCATGTTCTTAGGCCTTTAACGCGGTGGCTGGCTGAATAGGTGCGTGGGTCCATATTCATTTGCGTCAGACGGGGCCCAGAGGGGGCCTAAGACCCCCTAAGGTACCTTGGTGGCTTAAAGCTATTCACTTGATAGACACCTCTTGAAGGCAACAAGTCTGTGATGAGGTGAGACCGTGAGAGTCCGTGTGACTGTCACACTCTGCTACCGATGCCCTGGCAGTCTTCGACAGTCGTAGTTGGAGTCAGTTGGAGTCAGTTGGAGTTGACAAACAACCAGCGCGGGAGTTTCAAGGTTGGTAGCCCAACCGACATAAAGGCTCCCCAGTGTTGAGGCTCCCAAAGTAGGCTGGCCTCATCTTCATCATCATCGTTGTCTTCAGTCTCATCGTCACCACCGCTGTCGTTCCCCTCTCGCTCATCTCCACTTCCATCTTGAGACTCCGATGGTAAGTAATGGTCTGAGGCTTCTGATGCAATGTCCAAATCACTGAAATCAGGTGGTGTTGAATTCTCCTCATCTTTCTCATTCACACAAAGACAGCTGAGGTTGCCTCCACGCTTGGTCGAGGTTTCGTCTTGCCTGCAACCTGGCATGCAATCTTCTGGTCCTCCCTCTGAATCCTCTCCCTTGTGGAATGGGTTTACAACTCCACCACCATCAGCAGATGCCTCCTCCTCCTCCTCCTCCTCCTCCTCACAGATGCCTTCCACCTCCTCCTCCTCCTCCTTCTCCTCCTCCTCCTCCTCCTCCTCCTCCTCCTCCCAGATGCCTTCCACCACAATGACACCTGGCAATGGTTGCAAAGATGTGCGATCACGATATTGATGGTATCGAATAGAACAACAACCACTGTCTTCTGGTTCTTGAGTACTAGATTGTATCTGATTAGCGAGTGGGGGGTCGTTATCCTGAGGAAAAGGCACACCTCTTGGTCCGTTGGTATGATGTTTGGTATTGCACTGCTGCTCTGCATCCCTCTCTTGAGAGTTATGTACCTCCCCTGCGGACTTGCTGGACTGACAAAGTATCGAATCGGATGGCGACAAGGTGCCGTGGTCCGGTACGACAGCAACAGAACTTTGTGATGGTCGCCTTGCATACATCATACTCAGGATAGCGATACGAAGGGCTGACGAAACATCATTCCCATCCCGAAGGGCCCCATAAAAGGCTAGCATGAGTGGACGGGTAGCATCATCAAAGACTGGCCAAAGAGATGAAACCACACAAGGAACCCGCGACATATAGAAAGACCGGGTGTAGCTGAGCACACCCTCTGGTGTCAGACGGCCGAGTGAGGAATTACATCCACTGAGAACTACCAAAAGAGTATTCACATCATAATTGAACAACTTCAGCATCTCTTCCGCCGACAATCCCCCAAGATCATAGCGACCCTCTTCATTTTCAAAATAGCAATCTTTTACAAACTCTAAAAACAACCCTTCAGCCGACGATTCTCCGGAATCGTACGTAGTATCACCAGCTCCATTCCATCGCCCACTGTCTTGCAGACCATTGCGATCTCCTATTGTCTGAAGCTTGTCTACAGCTGGAGGAACGTCTGAAGTGCCACAGACAGGATCAGGAAGGAGAGTATGGAGAGATGTTGGTATTTTGTCTCTCGCATTGGCGGCATCAGTATAAGGTTCAGCTGCAATGACCTGGTTGACATGTGTCAGGGTGGATCCGGACAAATGGAGATCATTGAGGCCTGCTGTAACCTTTGTTGTGTGCTGTCGAGTTCTTGGCAGAGGGCCTTCACTGCTATCACATCTAGTGCCACTGATGGAGGACAGAAAAGGGTTGGAAGGGCGGGAAGATCGTGGCGGGGAAGAGGGGTCGGGAGGGGGTGCATCCGATGGAGAGCATAAATCAGCAAGAACCAGCAAACCCATGTCTGCAGTGTCTATGTCCCTTTTTATCTCTGCTCTGGACCCCACCAGCACATGTGTTGCAAAATGAGCTATGGGAGCTCCGCGCTCGAGTCTCGGCACTACTTGTGGTTTGGTGGCGTCTGTTCCAATGAGCAGTGTTGCAGTCCCAGGTGCCAAAAAACTGTAAATCTCCCTGGCCTCCTCTCGTGCACCAGGTAGTGGGTCCATACCATATGCAGGAGGAAAAGGATCGCCGAGAACAACAGACTTCCATGATCGCCCTTGTACACCCATGCCATGGTTCTCATCGACATCTTCACGACACATCTTCTTCAAGAGATGTGCACTTCCCTCTTGCAAGACTGGAAGAAGATGAGCCGCTGGGACTATACCAATAGTGTGCCGCTCAATAAGGTATGGCTTGTTCGATGATCCTCGTCGCTTTCCATCTCTGAGAATAGCAAAAGGCACATTCCAAAGAATACCATGCGGCACGAAAACCAGCTTGTCATCTTGGGTGACATCCTCAAGGACATGTTCTACTGGTGCAATAAGCAGTTTGTATAGTTTCTCTAGGATTGCTTTGGTGGTTCTCCTATGTTGGGAGTCTTGGGACTGCTTGCCTAGTAGCCCATGCTTCATTTTCGAGCTAACATGAGGTCCTCTTGCAGTCGGAGGCAAAGCGGGAGGTGTTCTTGAAATTGAACTAGAAGAAGCGACCGGCGACTTCTTCGAGTTCGCACAACCTAGCCCTGGTAGCCCAGCATGATTGTTCATCGACGTATCACTCTTATTGTTGCCTCGAAGATCATGTGCTAGGTCCAAGTTGGAACAAACTCCAGTAGTAGGTTCCGTTTCCAATGGGTCCGCATTCATTACCTCCATCAGCTTCTTCACATGCACCTCGACACCGGTTGATGGTTTGTACAGCCTTGCAATGCTCCTTAGATGCCAATTCCTTACAGTCAGAACGTAGATCATAAGTATTTCGTCCCGGGAATCGGTCCCCGGGGAGAAATGGTACTCTATCATTGTGGTTCCTGGTCCGCATAGCTCACACCCTCTCTGAATCATCAGCAGTGCTGCCTCCATGTCAGAATCGAACTGCTCGAAAAGTATCTCAGACTCTCTGCCATCGTCATCGCCTCCTGCGGAAGATTGTCTAGTACTTGTCACCATATCATTGTTGTTTTCCGACCCCCGAGCCATTTGCTTGCGGGACATGAGCACTGAGGAGGCAAGCCTGTGATGCGACCACTCGCTCCAGACAAGTGCTCCAGAGGCATCGTCTCGATTGTGGCAATCGATTTGCGCATCCCGGAATTCATCTTCTTCTTCCCCTCCATAGATCGACAGCCATGCCTCAGGCAGACTCCCACCCACTCCAATTGACCGCTGCGTGCTCTTGAACAAAGCCAGACCCTCCACTCTTGCTTTCTCGGCTTGCTGGTAATTGCCAACCGTGTTGTGAAGACATGAAGATAGTTGGAAAACGCGATAACGACTGAAGGTCGCTGCAAGAGCCTCGACATTCTCTACTGCCTTTCTACTCTCTTCCTTCTCAACAAGCATCCATGTTCGCAAACACTGAATATGTGTCCTGATCTGATTGCAAGTTTCCGAGGTGTCCTGTGTCTTCATTACCTCAAGCCTTTTTTCTGCCTTGTCCAAAAGTTCTGCCGGGTCTTCTGTTCCAACAACAATGAGCCCTTCCTTCCCAACCCATAGACTCAGATGAGCCCTCTGGATCAGCCACCATGCTTCTGTTGAAGGGCTTAGCATTTCTAATTCCTTGTAAACTTCTCCAACCTCCCTATACAACCCGACACTGGCGTTATAGTTTCCATGGTGTGTGCAAAGCAGTGCAATCCCCTCCTTACACTTGGCCCACAATGGCCCTATCACCTCTAGTGGGTAGTAAGCCAATGGATTACCAAACCGGTCGAGGATGCAGCTGTGCAATCTGATTGCATCTTTCCAGTGCATCCTCGACAAGTCAACTTGCTTAAGCGTAAACAAACAACTGCTGAGTTCACACACAACCCGCAACTCCCTCATCTGTGCTTCTAGGCATGCCTGATCAGCCATGGCGACTTCCCTTGCTAGCCTCAAATGTATAAGCTTATAGCGGATGATGTGGTCGCCATTTTTGCACGTCGGTGTCTTGAGGTCCTGCAAAGTGCCCATAAGATCAAACACATCTAGACTCCACTTCTTGTAACGTCGACTCATGCAGAAGGCTACCACACGCGCTAGTAGAGACATACATTTTTCAGTCGTCCAGTCGCCTGTAGCGGCATCAAAAATAGCCATGTTCGCAAGATCCTGGCAACCCAGATAAGCCTCCTCAACAAGACCGAGGCTCTTCGCCTCTGCGATTCTTTGCTTTGCTGCGTTGATCGCCGACAACACGTCATCGGTGTCATCTTTCTCTGCATCCGAATAAGTTAGAACGTGATGAGCACACGTCATCTCCATCGATTTGCACAACATAGCCTCGCTGCCTAATGGTAGCAATGAGTTACTACATAACAATGTACTAGGATTGAACTCGCCCGTAATCACTTCAGCAGCATACTGCCCAGTCTGCCCCTGCAATGGGAGAGTCAGTCCGTCCGGGAGCCAAGCTGACCACAGCCTGTGCCAAATTTTGTGTGCAGTATGCAAAGGCATTTCAGCTTGCCCATGCAACTCCAGAAGGTCCACATCATCGTCGGCAAGGTTATGACCGGCATCACCAGAGATGAACTGAAGCTCAAAGAGTGCGATCGCTCGAAATGGAAGGAAGTACTGCGCATCTTGTCGAGCAATGTCATGATTACCATCCTCCTGAGTGGCAGCCAGAAGTTTCCGCAGTGCACTCATCCTGTCGCGAGAGAACTTCAAACCATTACGGTACCTCTCAACGAACATGCAGAAAAATGCTGCTTCTAGCTCATTGAATGAAGAAGATGGGTGCAGAATCTGTTCCATTGCTGCAACCGAGGGGAAGACGATTCTCTCTTCCCAGGGCTTCGGGTAAAACATGCCTCGCCATAGCTCGGCAAGAAAGTATGCGACTGAATGGGGTCTATCGGTAACGCGTCTCCAAGTGCGAAATGACGTCTCAACAAGGTAAACTTGAGAGGGAATTCCACTCTCCCCTTCACTGAGCAAAGACCGAACCTCCCTGATGACCTGCATGAAATCCAACGCTTCTCCTAGCAGGTGGTCTAACCCTCCTTCAGCTTGAGGCTGGTGGGCCCGCTCGCTGTGTTGAGAGAGCTTACGATTCTGAGACCGATGTCCAAATTGATCGAGGACGGAAATACCACTCCGAGATAGATTGTGTTGTTCAGGGGTCACATGGCATTGATGACAGTATCTGCTGCAGTCACTGCAAAGGCGGGAATCCATGACCTGGAGCAGAATGGCCTCTTGGCCCTCTTGGGCCTCTTCTACCATCACTCCCAATTTCCAAAGGCAGAAGCTGCAGAAGCTTGAGGTGAGGTATGCTCAGGATACCTTAGAAAGCAACGGACACCATAACCGGCGGTAGGTTTTCAGTTTGCATGCATTCATAACCTATCGCATGTTACTCCCTTTTTTTCCTTTTTTTGGGAAAAACTCCACGTGGGTCACCACTTACCAGAGTGATAAGAGCATCTCCATTAAGTGGCTCCCGGTGTGAAGGCTCCATCTATTGAAGGGGAGCAAAAACTGTACAAGAAAAAAGCGTGACTGGGAAGAGCTGCAGTCAACGGCTCAAAGTACGAGAACTTGTAAGTTATAACATGATGTGAAGTATGCTGTACAGCAAAATATAATAACTGTGGCGCACATCCGGAGGGCACGTGCGGAGATGGAGAGAGAGAGAGAGAAGACATGGACACACATGAGAGCAGCAGCTGAGTGAGGGTCCAATCCGGCCCATGAATGAACCAAGCACTGAATGAATGAACCTGCCGCCCTGGGCCTAGGCCGAAATGATATACCGGCCTGGGTCCAGTAGCGGAATAACCTGGTACCGGACCAGAGTCAGGCCGGCGGCCTGAAACTGGTCCGGCCTCACTGCCGGGCCGGAGGGATACCGCTCCACGATCCTTTGACCTGTAAATGGATTCAGAAATACATCAAAACACGCTATCCGCTGAAAGAGCGGGAACCCAAAAGGAACGGCCAAAGAAAAACAATCCTAAATGCGGAGCAAGCTCCATGCAGGAAAAGGGATGCAATGCAGACTAAGCCTCAAGCCTAATCTATACAACAATGTCTGGTCTGAGTCGACCCAACCAAGAAAGAGAAAAATGTCTGACCTGTGTTGGCCAAGAAAGAGGAAAAATGTCTCATGAGCCAAATAGGCTGAATAAAATCACCACTGGGGCCCTAAAGGCCAAAGAATAGCTAAGCCAATGTCCTATGTCGAAAAGAATGTGGCACAATGCCTGAACAGGAGAGGAAGGAACTCAATCGCATGGCAAAGGTAGGAATAGGTGGGAAGGCGGTAGGTACAACTCTTAGAGTAAACTCCAAGGGGGCACCCACACAACCAGGTAGGGGACATCAGGCTCAGGGAGGGAGCAACAGCACGACACCGGGCTCAATGGAAACCATCAAACGGGCACCGCCAACTGAAAGGGGAATGACACTCACACAAGGGAGCCACATAAGGTGAGCCTGGAAGGAGAGAGGACTATATGCCAGCATAGACATGTGGCCCAAGAGCCGCGAGCAAAGAAAACGTATACTCCAGAGGAGGGCGCGCAGCATAAGGTAAGGCAGAAGGGCGACAAGCGGACACACCCACATAGACAGGGGAAATAGGGGTCATCATGMGACTGGAGGGTAAGGATACATGGAGATGATGAGAACTTCGTAGCCGAAAACGTGAAGTAGTGCAACTAATGAGTCTCCAGACAGAAGTCGAGTCGAAGTAGCCAGGATGAAGTAGGAGTAATGCRGACAACCAAGTAGAAGTCCGAAATCATGTGACATGTACGCTGGTACTGAACAGAAGCACTGAGATCGAAAAGTCGAATGTAGAAGTCGAATGTAGAAGCCGAATGTAAAAGCCGAAACCGGGAGCTGCTGAATAAGTGTCCAAGAGTGGTAAAAGATAGACGGCGTATAGGGTGTAAGATTAGTCATGATATCGAGAAGGAAGTCGATGGGTACGCTGAGGGCGAGAGGACTCAACTGCCACGACAGACGGAACCACATCCACAGGGGGAGGAGGGTCTGACGCAGGTACAGGTGGAGCAGGAGGACCCATCGATGAGGGGGGGGGGGATGTTAGGGGTCGCTGAAGTAGATGGATCAGTAGAAGGACGAGAGGTAGGAGGGGATGATGATGAAGGGAAAGGATGAGCACGATCGTAAGCACGCACCAAAGTCATAGCATGCTTCAAGTGCTCAAGAGGCTCCCACGTAGACTCCTCGTCAGGGTAACCCTTCCATCGAACAAGATACTCGAGGCGAGGAGG